GTGGGAATGGGGCAAGGTGGGAATGGGGAGAAGTGGGAATGGGGCAAGGTGGGAATGGGGCAAGGTGGGAATGGGGCAAGGTGGGAATGGGGAGAAGTGGGAATGGGGAGAAGTGACAGGGACTGACACCCCTTGCAGTACAGTTTATTGGCCATCAGTACACTGTACATTATTGTCTTACATGCATGTAGTAAAAAAGTCAAATTCAACAAATCATGTACATGTAATTATATCGCCCAATCACCCAAGGGTCAAGCGATCGTGCAAGTGGACTGATTGCACTGAACACATACATGTACAGGACAGCATTTGCATGTACATCATACATGTACATGTACTTGTCTCATTTTTCCATGCGTTTTCTAATTTTCCGCCATGCTGGGTTCTGATTTACAGAGGAATGAAGCTCATTTTCATTTTCCATGTTGAGCACTTTGTGTGCAGAGGTCAGGGCTGCACAATTGTCCAAAAGAGGTTAGAGAATCAGATAGGATTGGAATCCAGAGGGGTACTATGGTAAACGTTAAACATTGTAATATTGTCATTTGGATGGCCCCTTGTTTGAAAACCCTCTATTTTTGCCTGTTTTGAGTCATTGCCACACATACATGTACATGTTACCTTTGTACCAGAGTGATGTCCATGACGGAAGTATTGGGACTTCAACGGCTACTGTTGCATTCCAGCCACGGACTGCAAGTTCACGTTTGGCTGTCACACAGTCAATTCCTGTACATGTACATATGTTCATTTGTTTTTCGCTGTACATGTACGTGTACCTCTGCACATTTTCATTGTGTCTGATGGGTATGTTTTGTCCATTAGAAGCTTGTGCATATTGATCTTTCTCCTCTGCCTGAGCTTAGAACGTCCTCGAGGGACTGCAAGCTCGATAGGCATGTTCAGACCCCATTCGAAGATACATTTATTCAGTTGCCAGCTTCCCATGTCCTTCCACTCATGCTGACCGTGGGTCTGAGTATTTCTTTTGAAAGACTCCTCCAGCAAATTATTTATTCTTTCATTATCAGATTGTACTGTAGCTTGTGAAAATTGAGGTCCAAAGACTGTACTCTTCAGTTCCTGCATGCGTACAGTATACGGTGGGCCTACTAGTATTTGTGAGAATTACATGTACTTGTACACCTGCAACTTACAATTAGATGGTTAAATTAGTAGCATTTACACAGTGATTATAAACCAAACCTGAAAATTCTATCCTTTACCTTAAAACTTATGAGTGGTGTACTGGGCCCAATATTATATCAACCGGTATCTATATAAACACATATACATGTACATGTAACTTGGAAAACCCAGCTTGTTACATAGTAGTTGCAACACAGCTGGGCTTCCCGAGCTACAGTGTACATGTACCACCCACCAGGGTTTGCTGTTAATGAAGAGTACATGTACATGTATCCCTAGAAACAAGCATTTTGCCTGCCTTCAGCAGCACAACGTGTGTGCTTGGTTCAAGTTTTTCCCCAAATCTGTTTGCACTGCTGTCACACAGTAATACAGAGTACCAAAGCGCGACATCATTTGAAGAAGCACCCCTTCATTGGTTGAAAAGAGTTCGTGGGGAGTGTTCATTTTGTTGGTAGTGATGCTACCGCAACACTTGCATTCCATCGTCTTTTGTGAACCAACAAATTGCAGTTCCCACCAGAGGAACCTCCGTTGCTATGAAAATTGTGCCCTCCCTCGGTCCAGCTTGCAGCTCATAGGCCGAGCACTGCAGTTGTACAACTGCGTGGTGTGCACATATGACATGTATTAAGAGGGATAAAAAAATATGAATTGAGCTGCACATTGTGTGAACATCTGGTGTGGGGACCATGTGGAGCGGCAAAGAAAAACACTATTGATTCTGGAATTTCAATAAAAATGCAGCAAACAGAGGGCAAGAGAGTGTGCACAGGGAGATGATTGTACAAGTACATGTACATCATCATGTGTGCGTGGCATTCATGTGAACCCAAACTCCAGTTACATGTACATGTACATCGAATGCAGTTTGTTACGATTCCAGTTGATCCCAATCCTTTTGTGTCTCCCCGAAAAGGTACATGTGGAATTTACGCACGTTTTAAAAACCTACAATTGTATAAAAGACTCCATAGTCATTTGTTTCGTTCTCAGTTAGTGCCTATATGCTCTTAGCATGTGCTTGCCAAAATAGCCAGCGTTGGGTCAGCACCTCCTTGTCGTCTTCTCCTCGCCATCGCCAGACCTTTGCCGAAGCTGACACCGCTGTGGGACCGTGGATCCTGGAGTGTCGTGCCTCCATGCTGAAGCCAAATCTTGACGACCGACACTGACCTACCTGTCTGAGCTGGACTGTTCTGGCGCGGGGTGTGGAGGTGCTTGGCCCAACGACTGTGCTCCTTTAGACATGGTGCTGACTGGGCGGGGCCTCATTTTTCTCTTTCTTGTGTTGGCTCCTTAAGGTAATTATGCTTGGCCGAATACAGGGTGTCCCAGAAAAAACCAAACCCTGAGGAAAGGGGTTAATATGCCCAAACCATGAGACAGGATTATGATGCTTAAGGATCTCCGAAAAGTACAAGCAGTATTCTTTCTAATGATACCTTGATGGTATCCATCCTGTCATGCATGACTGAACATCATTGTCTTGAAAATGGGGCATCCGAACTCAGTTGTAACACTTTGGATAAACCAGTGAATGAGGTTGTCCTTTGTCATGTTTGTACTGTATAAGATATCAAGGGCATACTGATTATTTACTCATTACGTAATTCACAGTTAATTATGCACCGACACCTTCCGTGTGTCCAAGTCCATTCCTCCAGCAACTGGTTCCCCCTTGGCTGTTCGACAAATTGCTGTCTAACTGCAGCAACGTTTTCAGTAGTTCGCCCGAATGACCCTTATTCAAATTAAGGCTTGTCCCATGGTCTCGGTATTTGCGCACGTTTTCCCAGATGGTCGACTTTGCCTATCAGGGAAGGCTTCCTTAAATGCAGCTTGGGTGGCTTGGAAGCTCTTGTTTTCAAGAAATTTCGTCATGACAAACACTCTTTGCTCTGGGGTAAGTTGCACCATTTTGCAGACTTGCTGTCCTGCTTCGAAGACTTTTCAACATTGCACTGGCCTACCTCGGGGCAAGTCAACGCATTTAAACCAGATTATCGCATAACTTGAAAGTGACAAAAGGCAATCTTCCCTCATTAACATGACCTCTTGTTTTCACTTTCAACCACGACAAGCACGACAGAGGACAACCTCACTCACTGGTTTATCCAAAGTGTTACAACTGAGTTCGGATGCCCCATTTTCAAGACAATGGTGTTCAGTCATGCATGACAGGAGGGATACCATCCAGGTATCATTAGAAAGAATACTGCTTCTACTTTCCGGAGATCCTCACACATTATCATATCTCATGGTTTGGGCAGATTAACCCCTTCCTCATGGTTTGGTTTTTCTGGGACACCCTGCCTCTTTGTCCATTAACATGCTTTTGCTGGCTTGCTAATTTTCATGGTAGAATTGTGCTTGGCTGTGCTAATGTAAATATGTTTGCTTTTATGCTTTTGCTTGGACAACTTCATGGTGTATTTGCATGAGAAGTTTGAATTGCAAAAAAAACCACCAAATTTACTTTGCTTTTATACTGCTTTGCTGGTTTATGTTTATAATTAACCTCTTCGCGCCGGGAGGCGGCTAGACACGCCATATAAATTGAGATCCTCAGGCCACTTTTCAGCTATTATTCTCGGCCCATGCTCGAATGAACACGGTGAAAGAAGGCAGACCCTGGCTCTTGTGTATATGGTGATTGGCCTTTGTGTTTAGCCCAGAAATGAAAAGACCGAATTTGCATCATAATCA